GATGCCCCCAGAGGTCTCTGGACAGAGACACTGTCTCTCTGTCACTCTGAGTCTCCCTGTGTGTTACACAGGCACACCCACAACTCTTCTTTTCACACACACACTGACAGCTCTGGCACGGAGATCTTAGGCACAGGCCACTCCTGACCTAAGGCATCCTGAGGGTCTGGCTCTGGGCCCTCTACCTCCTCTCATGTATGGGGTAGACCCCACTCTCTTCTGGACCCCTGGAGAGTCACTCTCTGATGTCTTTTCTTTTTAGCCCCAACCACATCTCCTGTGTGGACCCTCACCTGGCTCCCAACAAGCACAGATAGGTTGGAAGCCCCCATGGGGGGACATAAGAGGGGTCATCAGGTAGCTTGGGAGCCACAGATTCAGGGAAGGGGAAACCAGGGCGGCCTGACTTTGGGGGCTGATCTCCCGGGCCCTGGGCTGGTGGGAAGCTACCTTCAGGGTCCGCCGTCGCCTAAGTAGAGAAACATGAACCATCTGATGTGATTAGGAAGAACTCCATGTTCTCATAATGATGGGTGGGTGTCCCCAGAGGGGAGTCCATATGGGAGACCTTGCACACATGTCCCAGCCCTCCTGCTCTTGGCCTCCTGTCACCATGGAGAGGACAGTGCCAGGCTTGACTTTAACTGGTTGCAGAGATCTCAGGTCTCAGCTACCGTCGGCCTGAGGGATCCTTAGGAGCTGCCTCTGGCCCCTCTCCCATTCCTTTCACACTTTGGGGACCTTATCCCATTCTCTATTCTGGTCCCCTGGCCAATCACTGTCTTCTTTGTGTCCTTCTTTGTTCTGATCACTTCTCCAGAGGGGACCTCTGACCATCCCTCCGTCAATGGCTCTGAGACCAGGTAGGTCAGGGATTTTGCCACTGGGAGGGAGGTCTTGGGAACAGAGGGCCCGAGTAGCTCCTGAACCTTGGAATCAGGTCCAGGGCACCCAAGGATCCTTCTCTGGTGAGTTGGGCCATAGGGCTCAGCTATGGAGCCCCCGGGCCAGGACTGAGAGTTTGATAGAGAGGAACGGGGAAGAGGATGCAGGTTGTTAATTGTGGAGGAACCATGAAAAAGACAGTTCAGCATGAATTTCTGTCAAGAGACAAAATGGAACCCAGAAATTGTGGAATCTGGAGGCTGTGTTTGTGTGTTGAAGGGTGAGTGTGAAGAGAGTGACACAGCCTGGGGCAGACGGTGGCCGGAGAGGTCAGCAAGAGAAAGGTGAGAGGAGCACTCTCACATTCTGCTCCTATCCTTGTGGTCATGGGTTTGGAGGCCATGACGGCCTCCCCTCACTGTGGGAACAGGCTGCCGTAGACTAGGTCACAGGCGCTCCAGGGGACCATGAAGCACAGCAAAAGTCATGGACGATTGATGAAAACAGACAACCAATTGGCAGAGCGTTTTCTCCCCAGCCCTCTCCTCCTGCAAACTCCAAGGTGGGTAGATTACTAACAGACTCTCTGTTAGGGAGTTTCAAGGTGAAACCCTAACCAGAGGACAAGCATGGCAGCTAATGGCGGTCCCTAGGGTCTTGTGCTCTAGGGCAGGAGTCCCCAAGCCTGTTGGAAACTGGGCCGCGGAGCAGGAGGTGAGTGGTGAGCCAGTGAAGCTCATCTTGTTTATAGCCTTTTTTCATAGTTTGCATCACTGCCTGAGCTCTGCCTCCTGTCAAATGAGTGGCAGCATGAGATTCTCATAGTGTCTTCAACAGTTGTGAACTGTGCACATGAGGGTTCTAGGTTGCATGCTCCTTATGAGAATCGAATGACTGATGACCTGTCACTGTCTCCCATCACTCCCAGATGGGGCCATCCAGCTGCAGGAAAATAAGCTCCGGGATTCCACAGCTTCTGCATGATGGGAGTTGTATAATTATTTCATTACATATTACAACATAATAATAATAATAGAAATAAAGTGCCTAGTAAATATAATGTGCTTCAATCATCCTGAAACCAGCCCCTGATTCCCGGGTCTGTGGAAAATTTGTCTTCTACAAAACAGGTCCTAGGTGCCAAAAAGGTTGGGGACTGCCTGCTATAGGGCTTTTTCCTCTCACTTTTAACTCTCAATGGGCAGAGGATTTAGCCTTCCTTTCTTCCCCATTACCAGATCTGTGTCTAATACGCCCTGTGGAATCTGAGTTCATGAGCCAAATAACTAGGCTTCTTAGTAGAAGCACTGCCTTAAAACAATGACAACACACCCAACAATAGAAGCCTGTGAAGCAGAACTGTGGGAACTGCCCATCCCATGGGAACTCTAAGTACCTATGATCATCTGGCTAAAGGGGTGAGGGGAGACATGAACTATGTGGATCATGAGGAAGATCCATTGGAAAAGAAAAGCCAAATGGTAAACCTAGTTCTAAAAAGTGTTATTGACCACAGCACGTGTGATAAAAGATGGCTGGCCAGTGAGCTGTAAGAAGAGTGAGGAATTCTCATGGCAGGTCCTGGAAAGCTTTGGAGATTTAAACATCAAAGAGAAGTTAGCAGAAGTGATGAGAAAAGAAGATGTATTAACCGATGAGTATCAAAAACCCGTGGGAGATAAAGGATGAAAGAAAGAAATATTTGAATAAAGAATCTAGGGAAGGTTTTAAAACTGTAGAAGACGAAAAGATCTCACACTGAAAAAGATCGTATGTTGCCAAATAGGGGAAAACAGCAAACACACACACACACACACACACACACACACACACACTCACCACACACACCACACACACACACCTCTAGACCCATTATGTAAAAGGAGAAAACATGAAAAATAGACAGAAAACATCTGAAGGGTTTCAAATCACCTACAAAGCAAAAAGATGAGATTTCTCTCTGAGTTCTTAAGAGGAACACTATAGGTAGGAAGACAATTGAGTAATATTTCTAAATTAGTAGAGAAAAACTTTGTATCTAGTGTTTTGCATTCAGCCAAATTGTCACTCCATCGTGAAATCATAAAACTTCTGGATTCTCAAGGCCTCAAAAGGTTAGCCACATGCAAAGATCCCAACTGAAAACGGTCCTGGAGGAAGGACTCGGCTAGGATGAAAAATAACCCCTGGAGATGCTGCAAGAGGTGTACCCAGCGTCTTGACAAAGTTTATTTTTACCTTTTTTTATTCATAGAAAAGGTAGCTAAGAGCAAAATGAAGAACGAGAGAAAATACATTCACGATCATTGAAAAATAACATTCTAGACCAGTGATCCCAAAGCTTTTTGGCACCAGGGACTGGTTTCGTGGAAGACAAGTTCTCTATGACTAGGACAGCGGGATGATTTCAGGATGATTCAAGCGCATTATTGTTGTTGTGTACTTTATTTCTATTATTATTACATTGCAGTATATAATAAGGTAATGATACAACTCACCATAATGTAGGATCTGTGGGAGCCCTGAGCTTGTATTCCTGCAACTAGACGGTCTCATGTTGGGGTGATGTGAGACAATGACAGATCATCAGGTGTTTGATTTTCATAAGGAGCATACAACCTAGATGCCTGGTATGTGCAGTTCACAATAGGGTTTGTGCTACTGTGGAATCTAATGCCACCACTGCTCTGATAGAAGGTGGAGATCAGGCAGTGATGCACATGATGGGGAGATGCTGTGAATACAGATTAAATTTCTCTCACTTGTGCACCACACACCTCTTGCTGTGTGGCCTGATTCCTAACAGGCCAGGAACTGGTACCGGTCTGTGGCTCAGGGGTTGGGGACCCCTGTACTAGACAATATCAACACGGGGTAAGAAGCCCACACTAGAAGCCCATGAAAGGATGGTTGGGTACTTGCCTCAAGAGACAAGCTCAATGTAGCAACTGTATTAAATCAATGTAGATATGAGTGAGTCTTCAGTTTACATCAAGAGAATGTCTATCCTTTCATCCAGCAAAATGAAACTCTAGCCAAAGGAAAGTTCGATACAAATTTTAAAAAAAGTTAAGCACAATAAATGAAAATAGGAAATAAAAAGGTAGAATTAAGTCCTAACATAAATGCAATTCTAATAAATTTAAGTGGATTAAACTCACAAAATAAGGACAGAGACACTGTTTGAGTTTTAAAAATTGCAATGTTATAAGAGATAGATTCACTTACAAAAAGATCTTAAAAAGTTGAAAAAGTCAGAAAAATATATTTTACTATTAGGAAACAAAATAAACTGTTCTGGCACTCTTAATATTGAACAAAATAGAATTTAAGGCAAAATATTATGTCTATACATTTGTCTATAAAATAGACAAAGATATGTAATATATACTGATGAAAGATGCACTTGAATGTGAAAATAGAGCCATCCTAAACATATGAGGGCCTAAATTTTGGCCATGAGATGTATGAAGCAACACTATGAGAAATGCAAGAAGTAAATATTAGCTATTGTAGTGGGAGGCTCACATACCTCTCAGAAGAACAAAGACCAATGAGACAAAAACCAAATAGGGGGGTTTAAGTTCTAAGCCAAATAACTAATGAATTCCAGGTACTATGCCATCATATAATATTTATAAATATGTTTTATATATATATATATATATATATAATCAGATGTATAAGAATATAGGATAAATATGTAATAAATTATAATTTTAAATAAATAGTTTCAAATATGTAAACATGTAGTTTAAGATTGAAAAATGTTCTAAACTATATAAACATATTACATATGTTTTATAAAATACAGTATTCATGAATAGATATTATATAAACTGTGTATAAGTACTAAAACATGTTTATAACCCTCTCCATAATTAAAAACAGATAGTATACATTCTGTAAAGTACATGGAGTGTATTTACAAAAGGACACCTTGTATGAAGACATAAAAGAAGTGTGAAGAAATTTCAGAGAATCAATATGACACAGAATATATTCTCCAAACCTAACGCAATGACATTAGGAATGCATAAGAGGGCTGGGAGTGTTGGCTCACGCCTGTAATCCAAGCACTTTGGAGGCCAAGGCGGGTGGATCACCTGAGGTCGGGAGCTCAAGATCAGCCTGACCAATATGGTGAAAACCCATCTTATAAAAAAAAAAAATTAAAAAAAAAAAGGAATGCATAAGAGGAGTAAAGATAAAATAGTACTTTTCAAACTAATTATTAATATATTCATATGTGAATTATTAAGTATGTAATAAAATATATTTTGATATATGACCACTACATATCAAAAAGTATGGGGCATAGTTAATGTTGGAGAGCAATTAGTAGCTTTGAATACATTTGTTGGAAAACATGAAAGTTTTCCAATTAATGAGCTAAGGAAGCATCTTAAGAAGATGGAACATGAGCGGCAGAGCAAGCCCAAAGAATCATAAAGGAGGGAAAGAATCATGGTAACAGCTGAAATAAATAGTTGGAAATGAAGATCAAAGAAAGTCATAATTCATTCTTTGAAAGTTTAAAAAGATAGCCATATTGTTGTCAAGACAAATGAAGAGAAAAGGACATGATAATAACAAATTGAAGAAAAAAGAATATAACCATGCATTCATTCTATAGAGATTTTAAAATAAATAAATTAGTGTTACATGTAAATTTTACGTGCCATGAAAGAAGTAGCACTCAAATATAAATTCTGTCAGCAAGGCAATTTACTGCTATAGAAAGGTGCATCTCCTAGATGGAGCAATGGCCAGCACACACCTGGACAAGGGAGGTGAAGGGGTTCTTATACTTGATGCAGGTAGCCCCTACTGCTGCTTTGTTCCCCAATTGGCCAGGGTTAGGCCACACGGTCTAAGGTAATTCTGATTGGGTATTTTAACGAGAGCAGGGGTATGAGCCAGAATGGCAGGGTGAGTGAGTGGCGGGAAAACTGGATATGGAACAGGTAACTAAAGGTGACTCAGGTCAGAGCAGGTGAGCAGGGGTGACTCAGGTCAAAGCAGGTGACTGAGATGAGTCAGGACGGAGCAGGTGACCTGGATGAGTCAGGATGGAGCAGGGGATTAGGGGAACAGATGTAAACTACTGATTAGAACTGGTGAAAATGGTTGTTTACTGAAAGCACGAGGAAGTTAAACTTTAAAATGAAGGACAAAGAACTGAACATACTGACATACTGATTCATTGAAAAGAAATTTAGAACTCGTTGTATCCAACATTCTGAACAAAATCTTGCTGTTTTAAATCTTAGAAGTGCACAAATTTCTAAAAACATGAACTGCAAAGACTAACACAAAAAGAAACAGGTTTCAGTAGATTAATAAATAAGAAAACTGAAATGTTAGATAAGCATCATCCTCACAGAAAATTCAAGGCTCACATGGTTTCACAGGCAACACAATCTTTTAAGAAACATTTGACTGATATTTCATACAAGATGTTGCAGAAAATAGAAGAGAAGCAGAAACGGCCCAGGTCATTTGAAGGGGCTAGTGTCATCAAAGTCTCAAAACCAGTTAAGGGGGATACAAGAAAACTAAATTATAGGTCCATTTCTCTGAGGCACATGGAGTCAATTCACAAATTATCATTAGCCAACTGAATTCAACAGTGTATCAAAAAGAAGACTGTATTATGATTGAGTAGAGTTTTATCACAAAACAGAAAGGATTCTTCAACTTCAGAAAATCTAATCTTAGATTAGTTTACTTACTAATGTAAGTGATCTTGGATTACATCATTTATTAATATAAGTAAACTAAATCATTAACTACAGGAAAAAAGTCAACTGATGCACAAAATGCATTTGGGAACCTTCAGCACATTATGTCATATGAAAAAACTCTTATAAAATAGAAATAAGAACAGATAGCTTGGTAAAGGTTGTACACCAATGATCACAATAAACATTATTTAGTAGAGAAAGCATAAAGTCAAATTAAGGATTTCCACAGCTACCATTAATGCCTTCTATAATATTAGAGGTTCTGATCAATGCTTGAAGGAAAGGAAAGCAGGTTACAGGAAAGAAGATGAGACAAGAAGAGGGAAAAACTGTCGTGACTGGCAGATGACGGGATCATCTACCCAGAAAAAGAAGGAGAAACAGCAAACTATTAGATTTCACAAGAGAGTTTAGCAAGGCTGCCAGTTACAAAAGCAACGAATATACGTCACAAGGAGACCTCTATAAGGAATAATCATTTAGGAAAATAAGATAGTTTTCATTACAGTGACAAAATCATTAAGTTTCTAGAAAGAATTAATTTAAGCAAGACCTATTTGGAGAAAAGTATAAAATGCTAAAAAATGACAGGTGATCTGAATAAATAGAAATAATACAGGACTTTGGAAGAGGCAGTAACATTGTAGAGACATCAATTTCCCCCAAATTAAAAAGCCTTTCAATGTAATCCCAAACACAACTTGTTTACATTTGCAAAGAACTTTAAAATTTTACTCTAAAATTATACCCAAAAAAAAGAAGATACATAACTATCTAAGTCAACCATGAAAATGTGACGATAAAAAGAGCTCACTGGCTTTACCATATATTAATATTGAGATAGAAAGCTGCTAAGACCACAAGAGAAAAGCAGATTTGCTGGGACAGGGAAGTCCCAGAACCAGAGCTAGTTAGGCCAGGAGTGGGTACCTGGGAGGATCCCTGGGATCAGCAGACAGGAGGTCTAGGTCTGTGCTCTGTCACTGCTTGTAAGGGTCTGGTCAGGTCCTGTGCAGTCTCTGGGCCTCATTCCTTCAGGTGTGATATCTGGCTGGTCTTGACGATGCACTTGGCTCTGATTCCTAAGAGACTCCTGATGGTCCTGTCCTACCTGACCTGATTAGGGAGAGTTCCCGCTCCCCCGGCTCTATCCCTCCTCTTCCCTAAACTCCAATCCCTTGTTCTTCCCCTGGCCAGCATTTTCCTCCACTCAAGACTTTGAGGTTCCTTCTGACCAGGTCTCCTCTCAGTCCCAGAGACCTCTGCGACCCCTGCTCCACACCCCTGTCATAGTCAATTCAGGGTGGGCCCTTATACAAACAGCTCCAGCCACAAGGAGCCTGCTTTAGGGACACTGCAGGAGCAGGTGACATCCTGGCCCAAGTCCATCCTCTTTTCTCCTTCCCTGCTGCAGGAAATCAAGGGCTCCCCTCTGCCTTGGCTCAGCTGGCCCCAGACTCCTGATCTTTGTGCTGTGTGGACTCCTCCTGGCCAAGGGGCTGATACTGTGAGTTCTGTTTGTGCTCCTGACCTGCAGGTGCCACCAGTGAGTGGGGCCTGGCTTTGGCCTGGGGGGGCAATGGAACTGGATCCAGATTCTGTTTCTAGAAAGATGTCTAGGAAGAAGCAGCCAGATCACAGAGGCAGGAAAAATGACAGCTGAGAACAATTTATATATGTGTTTCCTGGGAGGCCTAGGTGGGTGGATCACGTGATCAAGAGATTGCGACCACCCTGGCTAACACAGTGAAACTAAAATACAAACTATGTATGTATAAATACAATGTTTGCATTTATATACGATATACAAATACAATATACAAATTTATATAAAATATACAAATATAATACAAATGTTTGTATTTGCATAAATGAAACTAAAATTACAAAATATTAGCTGGGTGTGGTGGTGTGCACCTGTGGTCCCAGCTACTTGGAGTGCTGAGGCAGGAGAACTGCTTAAACCTGGGAGGCCACTTCACTCCACTGCATTTCAGCCTGGGTGACAGAGTGAGAATCTGTCTCAAAAACAAAATGAAACAAAACAAGCAAATAATAAATACGTGTTTCCTTACAATCTCTGCCTTCCTGCAGAAACAAACCTTAGAAAAAGAGAGACTTTCCAGGAGTCCCATCCCAGGGCTCTGCCTCCGTCTTTGTCCTGAGAGGAACAAGGCCAGAAGGGCAAAGCTGAGAGTGACTGAGTTTAGGAGACAAAAAGGGGCAGAGCAGGAAGCAGGTGACAGGGAGAAAGGCGGGAAAGAGGAAGAACAGGTAACAGGAACAGGGAGAGACAAAGGGGCAGAAAAGAGGGTCGGGGAGAGCATCACTTCCGTTCCTGACTTTCCTCCTCTCATCCCATCTCAGGACAGCAGCGATGGAGGTTTCTGATTGTCCTAGCCCAGCCCTGCGTCAGGACCCTTGGGTGTGTGAGCCACAGCATGGATCCAGGATGAATCCCAGTTCTTTCCCCGTCTAGCTATTGGGAGCCACCCTAAGCATCAGGCCCCACCTTCCCATGAGGAAAGGCCAGTGCCAAGCCTGTTGGAGAGAATGTTCAACCCCCAATCTCCCTGGTGGTGACCTCTCACCCCTGCACTGAGCCCTCTTACATCTACTTTCGCTGCCCTGACTTCTGCCATTGGGAAGACCCTGGCGGGGGTTTCTGCATCCTGGTCAATGCCCAGCTCAGCATCTTCAGCTGCGCCCGGCTCCTCCTCTCCAGCATTCTGTGGTTCTCTCAGCCCCGCCTCAGCAGGTTTGCAGGATGCCTCACATTTTCCCTGTTTGTTGCCTGTGTTCTGCCTGAGAGTCCTATGACTTTCCTTTTGTGCTTAATTAAATTCAGCCTCTGAACTGAAACTTGCTCAGGTACAACTGAGCAAGAGGGCAGATGTATCCCCTCACCCTCCCCGTCTCCCACCCCAGATATCCTAAATGAGAGATAAATGACTTAAAATAAACGATAAAATTGAAACTAAGAAAGCTGTTATCAGCAGACCAAAAAATGAGGAATATCTATAAGTAAAAGAAAAAATCAGATGCGTTAAAATGACGTGAGCAGGTGACTCCGCAGCGTAACATTCATCCGTAAATGGAACCTGATAATCCAGGGCCGAAATTTCGTTTGCTTAACATGTGAGGAGATTCATAGCCTAAAAGAGAAAATTAAGTTGAACTAACAATAATTGATGGTGGATGAAAGATAAATGTTTCGGGGAACAGAAGAGGAGCACATATTTATGAAACAAGAAGAGGCACAGTCATTTTCCAACTAACATCTAGCAAGGCTAGGATTGACCACTTAGAATGGGGGTCCACCAAGGACAACCAATTTGGGGTACCAGTGCATAGCAGCTGAATGCCAGCCCTGAAAAAGACCACCTTAAAGACAGCACCATTTTCTTTTCCTCTTTTGGGGTTGGGCCCTCCAACAGAAGACTCCTCATGTATATCTCAGCTCCTGCCTCGTGACCATCACCTATCTGTGAGAGGCATCACTTTTGCTTTGTTTCTTTATTTTGTTAATCTTCATGTCCTATTTCCACTTCCCTTCCTCTCTGAGGCAACCACTCTAATGCATTTGATATGTAACCTTAAATTTGAATGTATTCTTGTAAAGCATGCAGTATTCTTTTTTCCTGTGACTATGTGTTAACTTACTTAGAAGAAATTGTGATAGGCCTTTTTCATATGCTTGTCTTACTCCGTGCTGGGAGCATATACAGAGCCCACTTTTTTTTCAGTGCTTATTCCATTGTGTACATATCCCACAGTGCCTCATTCCGATCTCAGGGTGCATGTGCTGTTTTACCTTCACTTCTTCATATCATAAATAATGCTGCGATGAATACGCTCCATCATGTTCTCTTGTGGACTCCTGTGAGACTTCCTTTAGGATTTATACGCAGGTGGCATCAGCTGGGTTGTAGGATCTCAGACATCTAATTAATACTGCCAGCTTGTGCCGCCTGAAACATGAATCTAGATACTAGAGATTATATGTTTTCTGTGAGTCTATGTGAAGTACACAGCACCACGTATAAAATGGTATTGCCAATAAAAAAAAAAGGAAGGCAAGAATAAACATAGCTGAGTGATGCTACATGGAGGCCAGATGTATGATTATCTCTACTTTTGTGTATGCTTGGAAATTTTCATAATTAAAGTGATAGCTAAAAATAAAACACTTGCATGTTGAAGCCACTGCTATTTGGTTTTCAGTCGTATGTGACTGAACCCAATCCTTTCTTTATTTATCTAACTTATACTGCAGTGGGTCGGGACAAGTTTACTTGTAGTAGGAAATATTGAGCTTCACTTAAAGAACGTTGGTAGTGGGATGAAAATGGGCTAAATAAAAATAGATCTTCCATAATCAGATGCTAAGAGATAGCATTTAGCTATAACTTTTAAATATTTTATCTTAACATCGTTAGCCTCAAAATTGTCATAATTCCCTTAACCAGAATTTTCAAGCAGATGGTAAATTCTGTGTCATAAGTTAACAACTAAAAATATATATCTTCCTTTAAAATTTTGAATATTTTTTATTGTTTTCTCACCTTCATAGTGTTGCTATGGAAACGTCTGATAATAATCCGATACTTATTCATCTTTACTGACCAATTTTATCTCTGGAACATTTTATAATTTGCTCTTTGAAATTTTTATTATAATGTGTTTAATGTGGGGTATTTAGTTATCCATCGTTGTTTCTTCTTCTTCTTCTTCCCCGTCTTCTCCTCCTCCTCCTCTCCCTCAGCCGCCTCCTCCTCCTCCTCCTCCTCCTCCTCCTTCTTCTTCTTCTTTCTCCTTCTCCTTCAAGCGGAAAAGGGGGAGTAGAGTGGGGGAGAGGGTTGGGAAGCCCGGTAACAAAAAGGGGGAAAAGGGAGGGATGAGGAAGCCAAAAGACTACAGTACCCGGTATTGCCAGGTGGTCTCCCATCCAAGTCCTAACCAGGTCCGACCCTGCTTAGCTTCCAAGATCAGAGGAGATGGGGCACGTTCAAGGTGGTATGGTATGGCCATAGACGCCTGCATCGACTCCTGGCTGCCACGAGAGCCCCCGGGGCTGCAGGGGTGGACGGCCACAAGGAGGTCCCACGCTGTCACGGGGGCGCAGGTGGGCAGACAAAGGGGAGAAGAATTACGGGGCGGTTGGGAAGCCAGGCAACAAAAGGGTGAAAGATGGAGGGAGCCGAAAGCCAAAAGCTTAATTTTTTTTTTCCCTTTTTTTTTTTTTTTTGCTTTTTGGTTTTTTTTTTGGGGTACATGTGAAGAACATGCAAGATCGTTGCATAGGTACACACGTGGCAGTGTGATTTGCTGCCTTCCTCCCCATCACCTACCTCTGGCATCTCTCCCCTTGCTATCTCTCCCCAGCTCCCCACCCCCTACCGTCCCTCCCCTATTTCCCCCCAACTGACCGAGGGTGTAGTGTTCCCCTCCCTGTGTCCATGTGTTCTCATTGTTCAACACCCGCCTATGAGTGAGAACATGCGGTGTTTGATCTTCTGCTCTTCTGTCAGTTTGCTGAGAATGATGGTTTCCAGGTTCATCCATGTCCCTACAAAGGACCCAAACTCATCGTTTTTGATGGCTGCATAATATTCCATGGTGTATATGTGCCACATTTTCCCTGTCCAGTCTGTCATCGATGGGCATTTGGGTTGGTTCCAGGTCTTTGCTATTGTAAACAGTGCTGCAATGAACATTCTTGTGCACGTGTCCTTATAGTAGAAAGATTTATAATCCTTTGGATATATACCCAGTAATGGGATTGCTGGGTCAAATGGAAGTTCTATTTCTAGGTCCTTGAGGAATCGCCACACTGTCTTCCACAATGGTTGAACTAATTTACACTTCCACCAACAGTGTAAAAGTGTTCCTATTTCTCCACATCCTCTCCAGCATCTGTTGTCTCCAGATTTTTTAATGATTGCCATTCTAACTGGTGTGAGATGGTATCTCAATGTAGTTTTGATTTGCATTTCTCTGATGACCAGTGATGATGAGCATTTTTTCATATGTTTGTTGGCCTCACGTATGTCTTCTTTTGTAAAGTATCTGTTCATATCCTTTGCCCACTTTTGAATGGGCTTGTTGTTTTTTTCTTGTAAATCTGTTTTAGTTCTTTGTAAATTCTGGATATCAGCCCTTTGTCAGATGGGTAAACAGCAAAACTTTTTTCCCAATCTGTTGGTTGCTGATTCACTCTAATGACTGTTTCTTTTGCTGTGCAGAAGCTGTGGAGTTTGATTAGGTCCCATTTGTCTATTTTGGCTTTTGTTGTCAATGCTTTTGGTGTTTTGGTCATGAAGTCCTTGCCTACGCCTATGTCCTGAATGGTTTTGCCTAGATTTTCTTCTAGGGTTTTTATGGTGTTAGGTCTTATGCTTAAGTCTTTAATCCAACTGGAGTTAATTTTAGTGTAAGGTGTCAGGAAGGGGTCCAGTTTCTGTTTTCTGCACATGGCTAGCCAGTTTTCCCAACACCATTTATTAAGCAGGGAATCCTTTCCCCATCGCAAAAGCTTAATTATCCATTCTGTTTGGAACTCTCTGGACACATTCAATATGATGTCTTACGTATTTGTTCAATTTGGGAAAATTATTATTTTTTCAAGTACTTATTCTACTCCATTTACTCCCTTTTCTCCTTTCAGGACTTCTTTGAGGAGATATTGACATTTCTATTTCTATCCTCCATAACTCTTGATGTTTCTCTTACACTGTCTTTCACCTTTATTCCTTCTTAATGCCTTTAGGGAGTCCTCCTTGACTCTCCCTTACCTACTCATTCTTCTGCTAGTCATTGCATTCAGAGTTCTTTATTTCAACAATGATCATTTTCTTAATCCATATTTCAAATTTTTTCTTCTTCATTATTGCTTGCTCCTGTTTTATACTTCTAATGTTGTCCCTTATTGCTCTAAGAATATCTATTATGCTTATTTAAATCATTGTTCTCCCACTGGTTCTTCTTTCTCTGTAATATTCAATTTATTTCTCTGTAAGAAATTTGTTCAATTTGTTATCTTTTTAATAGTATTTGGTAATTTTTCTTGTGTTCTCATTTTTTATTCCCTTTTCACCTCTTTTTTTGAGGATCAGTGAATTACTGCAGATTTCACTGCATAAGGAAGCCCCAGAGGCAAATAGAGTTGATGAGTTTGCCATAAACTGTCCAAATATGTAGATACATTTACTGTATCACAAAGATAGCCGTTCACATCAGTGACTGTATTTAACAATGAAAACAGAGTGCATTTAACTATTTGGAAAAAATTAAATGTTACTCTCTTTTCATACTACAATCTAAAATAAATTTTACATAGATCAAAGAATTAAGTGTTAAGTGAGAAAATGTTAAAGAACTATAAGAAATAACTCTATAAGGATTCAATTCTAGTAAGGGCAGGCATAAACAACCAATATAAGAGAGGCAGAAATCACAGAGAAAAAAGGCTGAGAAATTTTCCAGAATTAAAATTTTAAAACTAATCTATATCCGAAATAAGTCATAAAGAAAATGAACAAGAAAATAACAAACTCAAAAAAGTTTTTTTGGAATTAAACTAGAAATCAGTAGCAGAATAACAGAAAGATATTTGGGAACTAAAAACTACAATAACCAAAATTAAAAGCTCACTAGATAGACACCATAGGGGAGTAGAGATGACAGCGGATATAATTAGTGAACTAGAAGACAGATCAATAAAGTTCAGTCAGTCTGAACAGAGAGAAAACAGACTGAAAACAAATTAACAAAACCTCAGCTATCTGTAGGACGTTACCACAAGAGCTAACTTTTGAATTGTCAGAGTCCCAGAAGTGAAGGAGGAAAAGTGTGGGACTAAAACATTATTCCAAGAAATTCTCAAATTTGGTCAAAGACTTAAAGTTACTGATCCAAGAAAGCTTTTGAGGTTGATGGCACTCTTCTCTCTTGATTATGGCATTGGATACAAGTCTCCAGAAGTCTCAGAACCGTTCATTAAAAAGGGTGAATAGTACTGTATGTAAATTAGACATTAATTTTTTAATGGGAAAAATAAATGTAAAGACAAAATACACTGCTGCTGTGTTAAGTCAAATGAAGAATGTAAAAGTTTAATGTATATACATTTTTAATGATTTTGACAAATGCTTCCAAATTTCTCTCAAGAAAGGTTGAATCCAGTGCATACTTCCCCGATCGGAGAATGAGTGTTTGATTCCTTCCAGCCTCGTCAGCACAGTGATCCCAAGGGTCACACTTTTGATCGCTGGCTCAGCGCTGGACACACTTCAGGGGTTTCACAGAAGCACAGATTCCAGGCACTCAAAGTCCCACAAGAGAAAAATCCCCACTCCTGAAGCAACTTACTGTTCCGATGGGGGAAGTGATAAAGGAATGTACCATGTGTGTTGAGGAGAGAGATGGATTCTGAACTCAGGGAGCTCATAGCACTGGGTAGGAAACACTGAAAAAAAAAAGGGTAAATAAGAAAAACAAAACACATCTGTAAGCGGAGAAGTCTCAAGTGACAACTGTATCTCATTCCCACGCCCCCAGTGCCTACCTAGTCCCATGCATAGCAATGAGGTTGTGGGAATGAATGAACAAATGAATGAATGAATGAATGAGTTGGGAGACTATAAAAGTTTGGGTTCAGCCAAGATAAAACTACGTTGCTTGGAGTTTGGGAGTTCAAGGTCAGTTTAAGATTGTGGCCATGCAAGCTTGAGGATTTTTTGCTTTAAGTCCTGTTAAAATTAATTAAATTAGAGACCAGGCCCAAAGAGTCCCTGAGCAGACAAAAATCAGTCAGGCCTTATAAGTGACCTCAACCTTGCTTGATTTGCAAACATCAGTGAAACTTAACTTGAGCTATTTCTTGTAAATGTGTATATTAAGGAAGAACAGGACTTAAGCTCCACCAGTCAGAAGAAGCCAATGAACTTATATAAATAAGTAGGGTCTTTCCAACAGGCTAGGGCAAATAGGGGAACTGTATAACGGTAGCCAATTAAATGTTTTCTTCGCTTTACTTGTCCTGTGGGAGCCTTCCCCTTGTGTCCCGCCAGTGGAGCTCCTCCGCCTGTTCTGTTTGGAGCTGCCTGATTCATGAATTGTTGTTCGCTCAAATAATCCGTTTAAAATTTTATTGTGCCTCATTTTACTTTTTGACAGTCCCATCTAAGGAGTAGAAACGTAGCACTGGTGAGTAGGGGGAGCATACATAACCATGGGGGGGTCCAACTGGACTCCCACACACTGAAGGAGCAGGTGACACAGCTACTGGTCTGGGCCTTGGAGTAAGTGAAGGGTGTGGTCTTGGGCCAAGTGCTGGGTCATTTCCACCGGAGCTGTTGGCTGTACAGGCGAGATAGGGTTGAGCAGGAGGAAGTGGAGGGGGCTTGCCTGTGTGCTGACGGAGGCTGGAGGCACGGGAGGAAAGGGCTCTTGAGGTGAGGTGGATGAGGGGAAGCCCTGCGGTGGCTTTAGGAAGCCTGTGGGAGGGACTAGGAGTGTAGAGGGAGCTGGTGGTGAGTAGAGACGACAGGAGGAGAGGCAGAGAGAGGGATAGAGACAGGAGATGCAGGGGTAGGGCAGAGGAGGGGCCGCTGGGGTGTGCGTGTGAGTGTGTGTGTGTGTGTGTGTGTGTGTGTGTAAGAGAGAAAGTGAGACTATGTGTGTGAGTGTGAGTGTATGTGCATGCACACCCATGTATGAGAGCACAGGAAGCCCTCCCTCAACCCAAACTTTGTGGGAAACCAAAAAGATTTCAAGTAAGCCTGTAAGAGGTTATTTGCAAGAGTGAACACAAGGGACTATTCTGAGCAGACAGAAGCCTGGCAGAGAGAGAGAGGAAGGAACAGAAAGAATACATCTGCAACAAATGAATGAATTAGAGTTTATGAGAATTTCTGTGTGAATGTGTGTATGTAAGAAACTAGAGTTCACGATTTCCACCTCATTTTGAGAGCCTGCACTGCTGGGTCTCTCAGCCTGGAGGATTCAAAGAAAATCCGTACCTGAGGTTCCAGGAGCCTCACCCCAGTCCCCTAGCTGGATCCTGGTGACCAGTTCCTGGGGGAGGTTGGGGAGGGCTGGGAGCTCTCTTTCTGTTAGCTGTCTTTGGGCTGGAGCCTGAAGTTTCGAGGAAAAGAGCAGGAATAGCTGCCAGCACCGCCCTCAAAATAGGCTCAATGAACCCCTGCGGTTGGCTGGGGGCAGTGGGTCCCACACTGCCTCACTTCCGTAAATGGGCAACTTCATTTTTAGAACCCCAGGTCCTTCCCTGGCAGGCCCAGATGGCATGTCCTGTGTCGGCTGGGGCCTCACCTTGGATCCCGGGGATGCGCTGGCCCCTTGCTGGGCCTGTGACTGCCCAGCTGGATGGATTCATGGTCCCTGCGCTCCTGCTGCTGCAGCGGCCACAGGGCTGCATTTCAGGTGAGAGGAGAAAGGGCTGCCTTGTGGAGGAGGGAGTGGGAACAGAGGCAGGAGCTCTAGATCTTTATCAGAAACTTCACTTCTTTCTTTCCTGGCCCAGGTGTCTTGTTTATTTTTTTGTGGGTTGGATGAGGAGGAAGTTAGGGCTGACTTAGTGGCTCTTTACCAGAGACTGCTGGGCATGGTGGGGGGTTGGCAAAACTCACTCCCTACTGCCTGGAGAGGGGTGGGAGTTGTAGGCACACATGAACACAGTGCCCTGGAGACCCATCCCAAGGTCACCCAACTCTGTACCTCCCACAGGTAGAGAGACAGTTTCCCACTGCCAGGGCAGAAAGGGGTCTCTCCTGTGCTAAGAAATTCTAGGCTCACCCACCAAGTAATGGAGTTGGGTCATTCTGTTTAGTTTGCAAGAAACAGAGGGATGTTCAGAGAGGGCGCTGTCTCACATAGAGCCTCAGCTCTAGTGGCTGCTGGGTGGGAAGCGGGACAGATGTCCTGGGTTCTGGGCCCTTGACTGTCACAGCTCTGGGTTCCACTGGGGGAACTGGGAATCCGCTGCATGTGGGAAAAGGAAGCATGCATTGAGCACCCACAGTGTGCAAAGCACTGACCGGGGCAGAATTCTCACGGCAACCTGTGAGTGGTGTGGTGCTATTCTCTTTTGACTGATACAGAAACAGAGATATTTCTGTGTCTGTCAAGTGTCAAGTGTCTGTTTTGATATTTCGGTATCAAACAGGTGCCCCAATCACAATGTTACTTGGTAGAAACAGGGTTTCAACTCTTGTTTATTTTGACTCTAAAATGTGTGCTCTCTATTCTCTACTCTGTGGTAAAGTTTTTTTAATGTGTGTGTTTGTGGAAGGCTCTGGGTGAAATTATCAGAAGAATGAGTGCTGAGCTTGGGTTGGGCAGAGGGGTGGAGGGACCCCCGGCAGCTTTCTCCCCCCATCTGACCCCTGAGTCACCCCCACACACCAGTTCTGCTCTTTCTCTACCAGACTGTGGGTTCTGAAGGCTTGGACCACATCTTACACCTCAGCATAGAGAGCAAGACACTGCAGATGGAAAATGAATAATTGTAGAATCCTGTGGTTCCCACTCTATTGGGAGTTTGTTTCAATGTACATTTGGAGAGGCTTGATCTATGGGTTCTATGTAACTAGAATATTTTAAAACTAAACACCAGCTAGAATGAACTAAGGCAGGTTATTATTTAAAGAGGACTTCAGTGAATGTATTTGTGAAATAAATAACTATTCATGATTTTTTCAAATACTGGATTTTCTTATCTACCTAATTAGTTGGGCACTGAAATTTCAGAACTTAATGACTTGTGTTTGTGTCTGCATCTGTCTCACTGAGGGTGTGACCTGAGTCTATCCCACAAGAATTCCCTGGGAATCCCTGAAGACAGCTTGTCACTCTCCCATCAGACTAGAATACCATGAGGAAAAGGGTGTGTCTGATGCAGCTCCGAGGTCAGGGCTGCGTTTCCTCCATTAGACTGGGGCTCCCTGAGGGATAAACCTGCCTCCTCCAACAGACTGAAAGCTCCCTGAGGGAGGGGCCTGTGTCTCCCCCATAATACTGGGTGCCAGCTGTTTTCAGGGCTGGTGAACCACCCTTCAGACTGGGGCAAGCTCCCCGAGGGTGGGGCTGTATTTCCCCCTCAGTCATGTGGGTTCCATGACAGCAGGACAATATCCACGTCACCCTTCACCACGATCTTCAACGTTCATGATGCTTCTCCCTCTGCTCTTGCCAGACCTTATTCCACAAGCCTTGTCTCCCCAGGTCCCCCCGCTGAGAGCGCATACACAAAAGTGAGGCTCCTTGTCGGGGAGACTCTGTCTGTGCTGTGCTCCTACAAGGGCTACAGAAACCGTGTGGATGGCAAGGTTTGGTGCAAAGTCAGGAGGAGGAAGTGTGAGCCTGGCTTCACCCGAGTGTGGGTGAAGGGACCCCGTTACTTGCTGCAGGACGATGCCCAGGCCAAGGTGGTCCACATCACCATGGCGGCCCTCACGCTCCAGGACTCTGGCCGATACTGGTGCATGCGCAACAGTTCCGGGACCCTGTATCCCATGCTGGGCATCCAGCTGGACGTGTCTCCAGGTGAGTGGGCTGGAGGGGCACTGGGACGGGTGGACGGAGTCCTCCCTGCTCCACACTCCACTAACATCAGAGATGATACGGATAGTAACCCATCCGTGGCCATGTGGCACTGTAGTGTTTTCAGAGTGCCTTTATGGCATGATTCACGTCACTATTGTCACCATTTACAGATGAAGATAATGAGACCTGAAAACCCAATGTGACTCTGAGCTTGTCCAGGGTCCCAAAGCTAGCAGGTGGCTGAGATGAGGTTCAACCTTGGGACTGTCTGTGCTGTGTTTCATTCACTCATTGCTTCACCATAATCCACTCAGCCCCTGTTATGTGGCAGGCACTATTCTAGGCTCTAAGGAGACAGTAGTGAGCAAATACAGACACAATCTTGTTCTATAACAATTGAAAATAACAATAAATGTTTGTAAGAAAATAAAACACTGGTGAACTGGAAAGTAACTCAGTAATGAGGGAGCGGTGGAAGTACTGAAGATCAGAAAACACCTCCCTGAGCACATGACACCAAGCAGAGCCCTGAATGGTGAGCGTTCTGCAACCCTGTTGAAATCTGGGTGCTTTGAAGGGTACTTTGTGGTAAGAGCTGCATGTGCAAAGGTCCTGAGGTCAGAAAGAGCTTGGCTTGCATAAGAAAGGCTTATTTGGCCAGGCGCAGTGGCTCACACCTGTAATTGGCCCTGTGGGAGGCCAAGGCAGGCAGATCACTTGAGGTCAGGAGTTCACAACAAGCCTGGCCAACATGGTTGAAACCCCATCTCTACTAAAAATACAAAAATTAGCCAGGTGTAGTGGTGTTCCTGCAATCCCAGCTACTCAGGAGGCTGAGGCAGGAGAATCACTTGAACCCAGGAGGCGGAGGTTGCAGCGAGCTGCGATTGCGCTATTTCACTCCAGCCTGGGCAACAGAGTGAGATTCTGTCTCAAAAAAAAAATGCTTTTTTAGTGGTTCCATATTGAGTATGAGACAGTGATTGACTAGGCTCGGGATTCCAGCATCCCTGAAGCCTGTGAGATGGAGAGTTCGGGTGATTCTAAGTACAAGAGGAAGCTATCAGAGAGCTAAGAGAGGTGTGTCATAGCTTGTTTTTAAGTATGTAGTGGCCACTTGATGAGGATGGACTGTAGAAGGTATGAGCATGGGCAGAGAGACCATCGTGAACACAGTGCACAAAGTTGCTTCCAGCCTGAAGGGTGAGACAACCTCTGTAAAACGCCAGTACCAGCCCTCCCAACATTTACAGGTGGAAAGCTGGTGCAGGAAAATATCAGCCAATACATGTGCCATAGTAGGGGACAGTCCCAGGACAGTGGCATGGGAGCCTCGATACTTCATCCAGGATGATCACTTCTATGGCAACTTCACCGTCACCATGACTGAGCTCAGAGAAGAGGCCTCAGGGTTCTATGGGTGTGGAATCTCTCAATCCCCTGAGATCTCATTCATCAGAAACATCTGCCTGGTGGTATCTCAAGGTGAGTTCTGTCCCTTCTTATTGGTGGGTCTCAGACCTCCTGAATCACAAGGCATTAGAGCTGGAGTGGATCCTAGAAATCTTCTCCTTCCACCCTCTCATCGCTGAAAACTGGGGGCATGGAGAAGAAATCCCTTGGCCCGAGGTCACCGCTGCTGAAGGGCAGAGCCAGGCCCAGAATGCAGGCCTGCTGGCTTTTGGCTCTTCCTTCCACATCACACGTATTTCCCTTAACATTTTTGCTGCTACTAACAGGACTCCTCCATGTATTTGGAATGAGATTAAAGCTTCTCCATGCTCTAGCAGAAAGGGCTTAATGGTCCATTCCGGACATACCTACCCCGACCCTAACTCCCAGCTGTAGTCAAGAAAGTCCACTGAGTAATGGGGTGGGTGTAGAAATATGACACAGGAGACAGCTAGGCAATGAGGCTGACATGAGACTTAGGGGGTGAGGCTAGGAGGCAGAGCAGCCTGGGGCTCAGAGGCCCTGAGTCCTCCCCCCAGACCTGCCCCTATCAATTGAATGTCATTAACTTTCAAAATGAGAAGTTAGGGGTCACCACTACACCTGAGGCCCCTGGGCACTCCTCCTGAAATTAGAGTTGCCAACCTCTCCTGCCTTTTTCTGTCATGGTCAGGACCCCTCCCTACTGCTGAGTGTGCCCAGCCACTTGGTCAAATGGGCACCTAGAGGACCCCAATAAGCTTCTCTTTCTTCAGTGCCCAAGCTTTGGCTCACTGTCCATTCCCTGTAGGGCACAGGGCTAGGTTAGGCCCTGGATAGGGACTCAAAAGCCTTGAGATCCCATCCTGAGCTGGAGGATCCCACAGCTGAGCCAGAGAAACAGCATGTGATGAAGGGTTATGATGCAAGGTGGTGGTAGGTGGCATTAGAGAAATATGGTGGATGGAAGAATAATGAAAGATGGAAAGGAGGGGGAAGGTTTAAATTCCTAGCACCAGGGGAATTTTAATCCTAAGAAAACAAGGCACATATAGAATACATTAATAAAAGCTAACCTATAAAGCAAGATGCCAGAGGCACAGGTGAATGGAAGGTAGAATGAATGATATGAGGCAGAGTAATCAAGAATTTATTCTTGAAGAAGTTGGGGGCATATGGATTGGTGAAGAATAGCAGGCAGGTGCAGTTCCAATAAAGTGAATAGCCTGAATATTTCTTTTTTCTTCTTTCTGCCTTTCCTCCCTCCCTCTTTTCCTTCTGTCCTTCCTGACTCTAGCCTAGGCTCATCACACACTATTCTTAGGTTATAGCAAAAGAAAACCCTGCTGCTTGGCCATGTCTATTTCCTTCCTTAGCTCCATTTACCCTAACACTTACCCATCCACCCACTCATCCATCTTTTCATCCGCTTATCGCTTATTCTTCCTACATCCTATCCATTCTCCCACTTATCCGTCTCTTCTTCCATCTATTTATCCACCCACCTATTCATCCATCCACCTAGTTCCAAATAACTTATCTATTAAATCACCCACTTACCCATCCATCCATTCATCCAATGTGCCTTTTCACAGGTCTCTTAGGTACTCCTGCCTCCAATGTGAATCCTACCCAGAACATGCCTCAGACTCCCACAGTTCTTACTACCCGCTAAGGCCCTGAGCCCACTGTACATCAGCCCAAAAACCATGACCCAACCTCCACCCAAGTCAACTGCTGATGTCTCCACTCCTGGTCCACAGTCAACAATAAAAATGGGACAAATGTCATATGATTTCCCAGCCTCTGGGCCCTGGATTTGGACACTGAGCCGGTTGTTCCCCAGTCAGTGTGCTGAGAGGTTGAGGGAGTGAGAGAAAGGGGAGGGTGGGGCAGGAGCAGACCTGAGTCACATTAGTCTGGGTAGAAATGTCCAGGGAAGAAGGAAGTGGTGATGGAGAATAGGAGAGGCTCTCTCTCAGTCAGGCTGTCCTCCCCAGTTCACCTTCCTTGCTTTCTTGCAACCTGAGTATTAAGGAGAGGGTAATGGCATCTTCCCCATATTCCAGTGGACCCCATCCAACCCCAGGGGCTGGATGGGTAGTGGGAAAGCAGTCTCTGAGTGAGGGACCCTGGATCTAGTGTCAGCCTGACTGACTGACTGTGACTTTGTGTGAGTCAGGAGCCCTCTCTGGCTTCAGCTTCCTTGTCAATTCAATAGGCATGCTAGAAGCCCAGAGCTGAAGACATTGTCCACCTAATAGCTCTCAGCAGGAGCCACATGTTAGCACTAAATGCAGCATTGGTTTTTGCTTTGTTTGGTTAGTTTTTTAAAAAAGAATACTGATGTGTGTGCTCTCATACACAGACCAATAGAATCGGAATTTCTGGAAATAAAGCCCATCTCAGTACTTTTTAATAAACACCTCAGAAAGAAATTCAGAGAGGAAAGGACAAACAAACTGAGGAATGAGAAAGAATAAAAACTCTATCTTTTGAAATAAAAAAATTTAATGTGATTTTTCCCTTTAAGAAGAAAAATCTGCATTAATTAAATGAAAACTATCATCCAAGCTACTTAAGTATAAAAGCACATTGTGCTATAAAATATTTAATCTGTATTAATAAGAAGCTAAGCTTATAACAAGAAACTGAATGCTTCTCAGTTGACTACTTACATTGAGGCAAAAGTCTATAAAGCAGCATTTCCTATGATGGTGGAAGGTTCTCTGTCCCTGTCCAACATGGATAGCCACTAGGCATGTGTGATAATTGAGCACCTGACCTGAGACAAGTGAGAGTGAAGGACTGTAATTTCTATTTATCATTTAATTTTTGTTAATTTAAATGTAAATAGCCCCTTTGACAAAACTTTGGGAGTGTTTTAAGGCAACTTTAGGACTTATTGAGAAGTTTGTTTGAAAGTAGGTCTTTCAAAGCAGGGGCTGGGCTATGATTAAGTAAGGATCACAATCAAACAGTACAGGATTGGTAGAAACAATAAGATGAGGTTCCTTTTTTTTTTTTAACTTTAGATTCTGGAGTACATGTGCAGGTCATGTAGGGTTGTTGCATAGGTGCATACATAACCAGGTGGTTTGCTGCCTCTATTCCCCCTTTGATTATATCCATCATTTCTCCCCATGCTATCCCTCCCCATCCCCCACTGTCCCTCCCCTAGCTGCTCCCAACCCCTGCCAACTGCCCCCAGTGTGTGATGCTCCTCTCTCTGAGTCCATGTGTTCTCATTGTTCAACACCCACCTATGAGTGAGAACATGTGGTGTTTGGTTTTCTGTTCTTGTGTCAGTTTGCTGAGAATGATGGTTTCCAGATTCATCCAAGTCCCTAAAAAGGACTTGAACTCATCATTTTTTGTGGCTGTGTAGTATTCCATGGTGTATATGTGCCACATTTTCTTTGTCCAGTCTATCATTGATGGGCATTTGGGTTGGTTCCAGGTCTTTGCTGTTGTATGCACGGCTGCAATGAACATACATGTGTATGTGTCTTTATAGCAGAACGATTTATAGTTGTTTGGGCATATACCCATAATGGGATTGCTGGGTCAAATGGAATTTCTATTTCTAGATCCTTGAAAAATCACCACATTGTCTTCCACAATGGTTGAACTAATTTACACTCCCGCCAACTGTGTAAGAGTGTTCCTATTTCTCCATGCCCTCTCTAGCATCTGTTGTCTCCAGATTTTTTAAGGTTTGCCATTCTAACTGGCGTGAGATGGCATCTCAATGTGGTTTTGATTTGCATTTCTCTCATGAGCAGTGATGATGAGCATTTTTTCATATGTTTCTTGGCCTCATATATGTCTTCTTTTGAAAAGTGTCTGTTCATAACCTTTGCCCACTTTTGAATGGGGTTTTTTTCTTGTATATCTGTTTTAGTTCTTTGTAGATTCTGGATATTAGCCCTTTGTCAGATGGGTAGACTGCAAAAATATTTGCCCATTCTGTTGGTTGCTGGTTCACTTTAATGATGGTTTCTTTTGCTGTACAGAAGCTTTGAAGTTTAATTAGATACCATTTGTCTACCTTGACTTTTGTTGTCATTGCTTTTGGTGTTTTAGTCATGAAGTCCTTGCCTATGCCTATGTCCTGGATGGTTTTGCCTACATTTTATTCTAGTGTTTTTATGGTGTTAGGTTTTATGTTTAAATCTTTAATCCATCTGGAGTTAATTTTAGTGTAAAGTAACAGGAAGGGGTCCAGTTTCTGCTTTCTGCACATTGCTAGCCAGTTTTCCCAATGCCATTTATTAAACATGGAGTCCTTTCTCCATTGCTTGTTTTTGACAAGTTTCTCAAAGATCAGATGGTTGTAGATGCATGATATTGCTTCTGAGGCCTCTGTTCTGTTCCATTGGTCTACATCTCTCTTTTGGTGCCAGTACCATACTGTTTTGGTTACCGTAGCCTTGCAGCATAGTTTGAAGTCCAGCAGTGTGATGCCTCTGGCTTTGTTCTTTTTGCTTAGGATTGGCTTGGCTATGTGGGCTCTTTTTTGGTTCCATATGAAGTTTAAAGTGGTTTTTTCCAGTTCTGTGAAGAAGGTCATTGGTAGCTTGATGGGGATACTGTTGAATCTATAAATGACTTTGGGCAGTATGGCCATTTTCACAATATTGATTCTTCCTAACCATGAGCATGGAATGTTTTTCCATCTGTTTGTGTCCTCCCTTATTTCATTGAGCAGTGGTTTGTAGTTTTCCTTGAAGAGGTCCTTTACATCATTTGTTAGTTTTATTCCTAGGTATTTTATTCTCTTTGTAGCAATTGTGAACGGGAGTTTGCTCCTGATTTGACTCTCTGTCTGTTATTGGTATATAGGAATGCTTGTGATTTCTGCACATTGATTTTGTATCCTGAGACTTTGCTGAAGTTACTTATTAGTTTGAGAAGATTTTGGGCTGAGACGATGGGGTCTTCTAAATATACAATCATGTCGTCTGCAAATAGAGACAGTTGACTTCCTCCTTTCCTAATTGAATATCTTTTATTTCTTTTTCTTGCCTGATTGCTCTGGCTAGAAGTTCCAATACTGTATTGAATAGGAGTGGTGAGAGATGGCATCCTTGTCTAGTGCCTGATTTCAAAGGGAATTCTTGAGCTTTTGCCCATTCAGTATGATATTGGCTGTAGGTTTGTCATAAATAGCTTTTATCATTTTATGATACATTCCATCAATACTTAGTTTATTGAGAGTTTTTAGCATGAAGGGCTGTTGAATTTTGTTGAAGGCCTTCTCTGCATCTATTGAGATAATTATGTGGTTTTTGTCTTTAGCTCTGTTTATGTGATGGATTACGTTTATGGACTCGTGTATGTTGAATCAGCCTTGCATCCTCAGGATGAAGCCTACTTGATCGTGATGAATAAGCTTTTTGATGTACTGTTGCATTCAGTTTGCCAGTATTTTATTGAAAATTTTTGTGTCAATGTTCATTGTGGATATTGGCCTGAAGTTTTCTTTTTCAGTTGAGTCTCTGCCTGGTTTTGGTATCAGGATAATGTTGGTCTCATAAAATGAGTTAGGGAGGATTCCCTCTTTTTGTATTGTTTGATATATTTTCAGAAGGAATGGAACCAACTCCTCTTTGTACGTCTGGTAGAATTCGGCTGTGAACCCATCTGGACCTGGACTTTTTTTGGTTGGTAAGCTATTGATTACTGCCTCAACTTCAGCCCTTGTTATTGGTCTATTCGGGGTTTCAACTTCCTCCTGGTTTAGTCTTGGTAGAGTACAAGTGTCCAGGAATTTATCCATTTCTTCCTGGTTTACTGATTTATGTGCATAAAGCTGTTTGTTGTAATCTCTGATGGTAGTTTGTATTTCTATGGGATCAGTGGTGATATCCCTTCTATCTTTTTTTATTGTATCTATTTGATTCTTCTCTCTTTTCTTTTTTATTAGTCTGGCTAGCAGTCTGTCTATTTTGTTGATATTTTCAAAAAACCAGCTCCTGGATTTATTTATTTTTTGAAGGGGTTTTTGTGTCTCTGTATCCTCCAGTTCAGCTCTGACCTTAGTTATTTTTTGTCTTCTGCTAGCTTTTGAGTTCTTTTGATCTTCCTCCTCTAGCTCTTTCAATTTTGATTATAGGTTGTCAGTTTTAGATCTTTCCTTGTTTCTCATGTGGGCATTTACTGCTATAAATTTCCCTCTTGACACCGCTTTAAAGGTGTCCCAGAGATTCTGGTAAGTTGTGTCTTCATTCTGATTGGTTTCAAAGAACATCTTTATTTCTACCTTCATTTCATTGTTTATCCAGTCAACACTCAGAAGCAAGTTGTTCAGTTTCCAAGTGGTTGTGCAGATTTGAGTGTGTTTCTTAATCCTGAGTTCCAATCTGATTGTGCTGTGGTCTGATAGACTGCTGTGATTTCCATCCTTTTGCATTTGCTGAGGAGTGATTTGCTTCAAATTATGTGGTCAATTTTAGAGTGAGTGTGATGTAGTGCTGAGAAAAATGTATATTCTGTGGATTTGGGGTGGAGCATTCTGTATATGTCTATTAGGTCCGCTTGGTCCATCATCAAGTCCTAGATGTCCTTGTTAATTTTCTGTCTTGTTGATCTGTCTAATACTGACAGTGAAGTGTTGAAGTCTCCCACTATTATTGTGTGGGAGTCTAAATCTCGTTTTAGGTCATTAAGAACTTGCTTTATGTATCTGGGTGCTCCTGTGTTGGGTGCATATATATTTAGGATAGTTAGCTCTTGCTGGATTGATCCTTTTACCATTATGTAATGCCTTTTTTTGTTTTTTTTGTTTTTTTTTGTTTTGAGTTCCTTTTTTTCGGAACTTGGTTTGCACCCCTTGTTTTTTTTTTGTTCATTTGCTTGGTAAATCTTCTTCCATCCCTTTATTTTGAGTCTATGTGTGTCTTTGTATGTGAGGTGGGTTTTCTGAATATAGCACACCGATGGGTCTTGAATTTTTATCCAGTTTGCCAGTCTGTGTCTTTTGATTGGGGCATTTAGGCCATTTACATTCAATGTTAATATTGTTATGTGTGAATTTGATTCTGCCATTTTGTTACTGGCTGGTTTTCTTGCCCATTAGTTGGCTCATTTTCTTCATTGCATTTTTGGTCTTTGCCATTTGGTGTGCTTTTGCAGTGGCTGGTATTCATTCCTTTCCGTGCTTAGTGTTTCTTTCAGGAGCTCTTGTAGAGCAAGTCTGGTGGTGACAAAATCCCTCAGTAATTGCTTTTCCGTAAAGGATTTTATTTTTCCTTCACTTATGAAGCTTAGTTTGGCTGGATATGAGATTCTGGGTTGGAAGTTCTTTTCTTTAAGGATGTTGAATATTGGCCCCCAATCTCTTGTGGCTTGTAGAGTTTCTGCCGAGAGATCTGCTATGAGTCTGATTGGCTTCCCTCTGTGGGAAGGACCTGACATTCTCTCTGGCTGCCCTTAGTATTTTTTACTTCATTTCAACCCTGGTAAATCTGACAATTATGTGCCTTGGGGTTGCTCTTCTTGAGGAATGTGTTTGTGGAGTTCTTTGTATTTCTTGGATTTGAATGTTGGGCTGCCTTGCTAGGCATGGGAAGTTCTCCCGGATAATATCCTGAAGAGTGTTTTCCAGCTTGGATTCATTCTCCCCATCATATTCAGGTACACCGATCAAGCATAGATTAGGTCTTTTTACATAATCCCATATTTCTTGGAGGCTTTGTTCATTTCTTTTCACTCTTTTCTCTCTTGTCTTGCCTTCTCTTTTTATTTCATTGAGTTGTTCTTCAATTTCTGGTATCCTTTCTTCTGCTTGATCGATTTGGCTGTTAAAACTTGTGTTTGCTTCACATAGTTCTCGTGCTGTGTTTTTCAGCTCCATCAAGTCGTTTATGTTCTTCTCTAAGCTGGTTATTCTAGTTAGCATTTCATCTAACCTTTTTTCAAGGTTTTTTGTTTCTTTGCATTGAGTTAGAATGTGTTCTTTAGCTCAGAAAAGTTTGTTATTATCCACCTGCTGAAGCCTGTTTCTGTCAATTTGTCCCACTCTTTCTCAGTCATATTGTGTTCCCATGTTGTTGAGGAGTTGTGATCCCTTGAAGGAAAAGAGGTGTTCTGGTCTTTGATGGTTTCATCTTTTTTGGGCTGG